TCTTTCAGTGTCAATAGCCTCGCCGGGTCTTCTACAACATATACCAGTCCGTACATTTATTTTTATTACACATTCGGTATACTGATATAAGTTTTAGACATGCCGAGGTTTTAAACATTGTAATTTATTAATCAAATTATATCACTTCCATCAGTACGTCAAGTGTGTTTTACTTGACCAAAAAACGAGTGTGCAAAATATACATATTTTACAATACAAACTAACTTACCGATCCAGTATATATCAAACAGGAAGAAAATGGCCTCATACATCTGAGTGATGTTTATTTATTAGGGGTTTCATTATATTTCGATATTTTAACACACGATAGCACTGTAATGCAGTATTAATGAGTTATTCTTGCTGGGAACATCAATCCTGTGACGACCACAGAGTGTTATGTAAGAAACAACGTTCCGATTTATTGGCGTGGTGAACACTTTGATGAATCTTTGAAAACATGAAATTTACTGACAATAACAAATGAATTATTAATACGTTTACGTCACATGTTGATATATTGTTGTTGTTATTCAAACGGAACATTCGTCTGCAATCCTTTCTGAAGATAGCAAAACAAAGAATCACTACATACATGGTAATTGTGTGATCGTGTCGGTAGTGAAGGCAACTTACACTTCTGCAGTTATTTCCACGTATCAAGCTTTAAAAACTCATTTATTCAATGATCAATAAAACGAAACCTTCCATATTTCCAGTTATTCACAAGACGAAATACAAGTATATGACGTTACCAGGATCCGCTGTGATAATTATCAATCACTAGCTATTTGTCTTTAGCTTAACCCAGGTTTTACCTCCACACGTCCATCTTAAATCTTTTAGCTATTGCTTAAGGAAACAGTCGCATCACTCTAAAATGAAATAAGGGAGATGTTGGTTTTCCAGAATCTGTAAATATTTGTATTAATCTAAAAACAAAGTGGAATCTCTTCGCTTTAGAGCTGACAGTATGTTCCGACTATTTCCATGGTTTATTCCAAATTTAGGACTCTCTTCATTTTTCCCGAAGTTGCCAAAAGGGTTGCATTTGTTTGGTAAACACGGCACACCTGGTCTTATTCTCCAGGTGTGCCGTCTCCAGGAGTCTCCTTGTAATCTTTCTGTTGCTCATATTTTGCCCTAGTTATATGGAATTTGAGTTTGAATTATAATAGTTTTTGCCATGTTGATATTTTCTTGGTGTTTTTTAATATTACTTTTGGAAATCACTTCAAAAACCATGATGTAATATACTTAGGATGAAATCGTAACTATGACTGTACTCGGTGGTAACTATATTCTACAGAGACAAACAGGAATACATTTCCCCATATTGCCCCATCCTACTTCTATTTAACCCTTTTACGTGCCCTATCCCCTGGCATAGTATCGAACTCTAGTGATTGGACTGCCCTCCCAACCCAGTCACTAATGGTCATTGCATACAAAAGAGGTCTAACCCCTTTTAGTAAGAGGAATCGTGTGACACGTAGGGTACCCAGGTTTATCTGTAACCTCTGGGATTCAAATGTATTCACTAATTTGCATGTGATTGTAACCAGGGCCATTCTGTCAAAACAGACAACGGTTATAACTGTCATTCGTTTACTTGCATGAAAGAGATAGAAGCCTATTCATTGTTAACATCGTAGCTGTCAGTTTTGTACTGACAGCCATCTTGGTTTTGGGTAGTAATATTGGAGCCGAGCCGAATTTTGGGATGAAATATTCAGATTTCAGCATTAGTCATTGGCAAGGTTAAATAAACAATCAAATGATAAATGTTTGTCACAATAATATCAATAATTCAAACAATAGCTTATTCTCTTTATAAAAGGCATGGGACCAAACAGTTATCTGGTTAGTTAGGGTTTCCCAGCCGATATTTCTGCACGTTGTAAAGTGTCCCTTATTCTCAAGGTCCTGGGAAAATACCAATTAACGAGCATCAAACACGTCCAAATTCATATCACACATGGAAATAGAATATTGTCCATTAAGGTCATTGCAACGACAATAAAACGCTCTATAAAAACCCAATGGTCAAATTTAAGCGCTTAAATCGCTGTACAAAAGCAAAGTTCTTATGAGGTTTTTTTCTAGAAAATCCTTAGTGTAATGTTAAACACGAGCGTCACAAGGGATGGAGAAAAGTGCCTTATAGAGTGGAACCTAAGCAGTTGTTATATATGACGGTTTGGCAATAAAAATGACGGTTTGATTTTATCAACGTGTCAATTCGTGACAAGCCTGTTTGTTTAAACCGTACCCTTGCTATCCAAATAATATGACAATAATGTTTCGACAATACCCGCATTGTCACGGACAACTTCGATACGCAAAACCTGGTGTTTTCAGGGGAGTTATGCAGTGCAATCAAGAATCAGAAAGATAAATGGCGAAGGTGAGGATGTAAACATTTGCAGATTAAGATTTTTACGATCCGGATGAAGACCTACAATACGTTAGCTTATATTATCAACCATTTTCCTACATGAAGCATTGTAATGAATCTACTAGTTAGAGGCATCCTCCCTAGATTGACTCTCGGTAGTGTCGTCATGGTAAAAATACTGATGGCATGGAAACACAGAAAAAAAGAATGCTTCAGTTCTATTTGAACGATGATGATGAAGGGAACAAATCAAATATTTGTAATAGCGGCAGATACAGAAGTTGGGAAAAGAAGGATGAGTAAAGGGACATATGCAATAGTGATCGTGAGGATCGGCTAGGTAATGGTTGTGATCATGAGGATCGGGAAAATGCAATGGTTGTGATAGTGAGAACTGGCGAGGGAAAATGTAATGTTTGTGATAATTAGATCTGGCGAGGAAAAATGTAATGGTTATGAGGACTGGCGAGGAAAATGTAATGATTGTAATAACGAGGATTGGGAAAAAGCAATGGTTGTGATAGTGAGAACTGGCGAGGGAAAATGTAATGTTTGTGATAACGAGGATAGGGGAAATGCAATGGTTGTAATAGTGAGGATTGGCGAGGGAAATGTAATGGTTGTAATAACGAGGATAGGGGAAATGCAATGGTTTTGATAGTGAGGATTGGCGAGGGAAAATGTAATGGTTGTGATAACGAGGATAGGGGAAATGCAATGGTTTTGATAGTGAGGATTGGCGAGGGAAATGTAATGGTTGTAATAACGAGGATAGGGAAATGCAATGGTTGTAATAGTGAGGATTGGCGAGGGAAATGTAATGGTTGTAATAACGAGGATAGGGGAAATGCAATGGTTTTGATAGTGAGGATTGGCGAGGGAAAATGTAATGGTTGTGATAACGAGGATAGGGGAAATGCAATGGTTGTAATAGTGAGGATTGGCGAGGGAAATGTAATGGTTGTAATAACGAGGATAGGGGAAATGCAATGGTTTTGATAGTGAGGATTGGCGAGGGAAAATGTAATGGTTGTGATAACGAGGATAGGGGAAATGCAATGGTTTTGATAGTGAGGATTGGCGAGGGAAAATGTAATGGTTGTGATAACGAGGATAGGGGAAATGCAATGGTTGTAATAATGAGGATTGGCGAGGGAAATGTAATGGTTGTAATAACGAGGATAGGGGAAATGCAATGGTTGTAATAGTGAGGATTGGCGAGGGAAATGTAATGGTTGTAATAACGAGGATAGGGGAAATGTAATGGTTGTAATAGTGAGGATTGGCGAGGGAAATGTAATGGTTGTAATAACGAGGATAGGGGAAATGCAATGGTTTTGATAGTGAGGATTGGCGAGGGAAAATGTAATGGTTGTGATAACGAGGATAGGGGAAATGCAATGGTTGTAATAGTGAGGATTGGCGAGGGAAATGTAATGGTTGTAATAACGAGGATAGGGGAAATGCAATGGTTGTAATAGTGAGGATTGGCGAGGGAAATGTAATGGTTGTAATAACGAGGATGGGGAAATGCAATGGTTTTGATAGTGAGGATTGGCGAGGGAAAATGTAATGGTTGTGATAACGAGGATAGGGGAAATGCAATGGTTTTGATAGTGAGGCTTGGCGAGGGAAAATGTAATGGTTGTGATAACGAGGATAGGGGAAATGCAATGGTTGTAATAGTGAGGATTGGCGAGGGAAATGTAATGGTTGTAATAACGAGGATAGGGGAAATGCAATGGTTTTGATAGTGAGGATTGGCGAGGGAAATGTAATGGTTGTAATAACGAGGATAGGGGAAATGCAATGGTTGTAATAGTGAGGATTGGTGAGGGAAATGTAATGGTTGTAATAACGAGGATAGGGGAAATGCAATGGTTTTGATAGTGAGGATTGGCGAGGGAAAATGTAACGGTTGTGATAACGAGGATAGGGGAAATGCAATGGTTGTAATAGTGAGGATTGGCGAGGGAAATGTAATGGTTGTAATAACGAGGATAGGGGAAATGCAATGGTTGTAATAGTGAGGATTGGTGAGGGAAATGTAATGGTTGTAATAACGAGGATAGGGGAAATGCAATGGTTTTGATAGTGAGGATTGGCGAGGGAAAATGTAATGGTTGTGATAACGAGGATAGGGGAAATGCAATGGTTTTGATAGTGAGGATTGGCGAGGGAAAATGTAATGGTTGTGATGATAAAATTTGTTGAGGATGACGAAAATATGCGAAAGACAAGTGGAATAGGCGTGATATCGGGAATATGTCTAAGGCAAATGGAAAAGTTGTGGCATCGAGGATTGGTGAGGAATCAAAGCTTCATACTAAGAGGGTGAACAGCGTCGTTGGTAATTATGGTATCCTAGTGAGTCCAGGAATGGCCAGTAATCAGTAGCGTAAGTCCTGACGCCGTGGAATCGAACCGTGATTCAGAAAGATACAACACCATCGTAAGGAGCAATAGAATTTTCTTTTGGTCCAATGGTTGTAAATTGGTCTAACAACGCCGTGGAAATCGACGCAAGTAATATTCAAGAAATAAACAACAACCAAGTTGAGGATTCAGATAGTGATCTCGACAGGTGGAAAACAAAAAAAGGTTTGTAATAGACACTGATATATTTCATTGCTTTTCATGACATACATGAGTGATTATCAATTCATTTCAATTCATAAATTAGTCAAAACGGAGCAACAAGACTATCAAACTGCAATCCAATTAAATATCTGAAGTATTATATGCAATATTCGCTCAAACAAAAGTCGTCCTATTAGTTTCCGTCATCATACTGCATGAAACTTTATGCTTAATCACAAAAAAGATATATGACAGTTACCAAACATAGAGGTTGAAGTTTCCTTCTCTCTAAAGTCAATTCGTGACATCATGATCCCGGAAAAGAAAATTTTGTTGAAGAAAATATGTTTTAACTTGATAACAAGATGTCAAGAATGACAATTCTACAGTGATATGTCATCGAGATGTGTATCATCCCCTCATTAAACCTTTGCTTGTGATGTAAAGGTATATCTTTGATACGGCTTTTCCAATGTAGGCATTAGTTTCTCGATTCAGCATATTCATTGTCAGTTTGAGTTGGATATCCTGTGGACCAGGGATGCCGTAAGTCAAGGTCACTGTAGCCTCGTTATTGCTTTCTCTAAGAGAAAAGTAGCCACGGTTGACTTCACTGATACCAGCCCTGAGTGGCCGAACGTCGACTACCTCGAGATCCCATGTATATTTCTTATCCAGCGACTGGGGACCTGACATTGCAAACAAGTCCGCCGGAACCTTGACATAGGTTGGGAAAGTCAGGAAGTTGTAAGATAGAGAGAACGGCAAGTTCCTACATTCGTTGTCATTCTGGTCACAATTGAAATCTATACGTTTACATCTGACACTGAAACAAAAAGTTGTTTTTCTATATAAAGTGTAAACAATGTCTTGTGGTATGCTGAAAATTACTATCAAAATAAAGATAAGTTCATGGTGGTTGAAAACACATTAGTTACATATAGATACTTCACTTAAGACATGTAAGTAGATGCAATTAATGATATGCTTCACACAAATAATGCTATATTTTGAAACTAATTTCAATAGCTTTACAATGCATGCTGTCAGGTTACCTGAAATAAAATTAATAATATATGAGTATAAGATTTACATTTATACAGAGGTTATGGACTATTGTAACCGATATGATTACTAATTTATAATTTAAAAAAACAGATGCATTACATTAAAGACAAAATATAGTCAAATGCACGTGAAATAGAATAACAAGTGACATGTATACAACTGATGTTGGTTATTGATATGTGATGGTTTCTGTACATCGTGATAAAAAAAGGACATCAATAATTGGTCATTGATATGTGATGGCCTCTGTACAACCTGGTAAAAAGGACACGAATACACGTTTGTGTGTGGTATACATTTGTTACGTTATAAACAAAAGCAAAAATTAGACTTGCTCTGATTAGTTACTGAATTTGCTATTTCACACATGTAAGTTAAGTGAGATGGTTAACTGTTCTATTGTCCTGATAACGAAAAATCCATGTTCTGTGTTTTCATTTGTATTTTTTTAAACAAAGGAACATCAAGTTGGTTTACTCTATGATTTCTGTAAAATAGGAAGGTAGTTATCATTTGTATATCTGTATTGTATATTAGCAAAGGTACACTGTTGTTAGCTATGGGGTTCAACAACGAAGTGTGTGACTATGTTTTAGCCAAAGCAATGCCACAGTGTGATATTTTAGTGTATCCTTTTTTTCTAAATGACCTGTATTTCTGATGATTTTGGTTTAGCAGACACATGGTCCAATATTAACCTTCAGGTTGCGAAATTGTATATGTTTAATCACCTGTCAAAATGACTTTGAGTTTGATGTTTTCGATTAATTTTTTTATCAAATCACATCACCAATATGTTGATTCAAATCGCCAACGGTTAATGGACGATAAGACATTTAAATGAGTCTGAGGTTGATTGGCGAATTGACAGATAGACACCGCCCTATGGGATAAGTTTGTCTACCTTTGGACCAGACGTGCTAATAAAACGATCGCCGCCATGCTATATTTAAATGTTTGATACAATGTATTTGGGTTCACTGCATTTCTGATCATGCAATAGATTTATCATAAAGGAACATAATAACATTCAAAGGACGACGAACCGCAAGAGCCATTTAAATCCAGAAAAATCCGTCATTCTTTTTACATAAAACAGTGTGTTATCCTTCCAATTTACTTAGCAAGAAAGCTCCGTCAAAGTCTCAGAATCATTTTACATTAAACATTTTAAAATACTTTAAATGAACGAAAAAGTAGGAAGTTTCCAGGAATTACGTTAGGTAATTAACAGAAGATTTCAATACAGCAACATTTTTCGATCTGGTTATGATGTTCCTACTGATAACTGACATTGTTATAGTCTATTAACAAGATGATCCCAAATGCCTCCTCAAGGTAGAGTAATTTCTGTGGCCTAGTTTGAACGTGTATTCATTCTTTACTTGATTTTACAAGCATTTGTCTCTTTAAAAGTTCCTGAATTGGATATTTCTGGTTCTATCAGACTAAAAGTTACTTACTGTGTATTTAAAGCCTACCATTTTCTCGTTTGATCTGCTATCTGTATGTCTAATATCAGAAAATACATAAAACCACACGAGGAGTCAACCAGGTTGACTGACCTTTGGCCTTTGCCCTTTCAGACCTTTCGTATTAAATCGTGTATGGACAATGTTGTTATATAATGGTGTTACGTTATGTGAATCGAAGGTGATTAAGTCCCTTACAATATATCGTCTTTCGAGATCACAAACCTGTTACGGCGTGGTCCAAGCGTTGTCTTCACGAAACCAGGTGGGCACACAACGTTAGGACATTTGTAGCTTCCTTTGGTGTTAAAACACATTCTATCCTGTCCACATATACCCGGCCGTTGACATTCATCGACGTCTGTGGAAACAGATTATTTTTTAATGTGAATTATTCATTTTCCGCAAATTTCAAATGAAAGCAGCTTCATGATGAAGTGTATTCTCTTCGGTGTTCATTCTGCTTTGTAGTACAAAATTTACAAAAATAAAATAAAAGTTCGGGTACCGCAAATGATTCCATGGAACGTTTAAAATAACAGAAATAGGAACTGCTACATTTCAGTTCCTGACCAGAGAGGTGAAGTTTGGACATCCGCAAAGATAAAGCTTCAGTGTTTGTCTATGCAAATTAATATAATTCCATTGTCATAAGAAATGGAAAATACATTTATCAGAAAATTTCTTATCGAGGTGACAAAGATACACTCATGCTAAAACTTGTCGTAAATAACAATTATCTTCACCAAGTGAGATCATGCATGTAACAATACAGTTACATCGCATCAGAACATTTAACGGAGTACACTACAGAAACTTGCCTCCAAAAGTGTTTAAAACTTTTTGTTGCCAGCAAGACAAAAGTGAAATAATTGTCTCAAACATACCATATGATCATAACTGGATCTAGATCTCACAAGACCATTCAAGTCAAGAATCAAATCAAAATTAAATTAAAATATTTTATATCCTCCGAAGAAATTGGCCCATTAGTTTACCATTAACGGCATCCGATAAATTGTAACACAAACTCCCGTTTCCTGCTTCACCTTTATTTTTTAATATATTACACAGCGAAACGCATGCTCCGTTTGTAAGCGAGTATGATAAACAATCTCCGGCGACATTCCTTGTTTGATACAGCAACACAAATTCACCTTTACTCACGCTAGGACACCAACTTATTTCTTAATTTGTATACAAGGTACAAAGAAGCTTAACATTTCAACTTTTTGTGTTTGATAAAAGCTACCGATATATTATCTTGCTTCTTTGAAAGAAATCTCGTCTGAAATTTATTGCCTCTAGTCCAGAAGAACTTCCGTTTACATATGTATATGATAACACTTTCACTCCTTTACGTTCTTGCTTTGATAACACAATGCCATCTCGCTCATCCATGTGCATCACGACACACACTCTCTTTGCTCGCTCGTGTGTATGGTGACACATTCTACACGTCGTTCCGTCTGTATGATGATTAGCCTTCCGTTACATTTGTACATGTAGGCTGACACACACTTACCCCTGCAAGCCTGACCTCTGCCATAGGATGTCCAACCGTCGGGACATTCACAGTGGTAGGATCCCGGTGTATTGATACAGTGACCACCACACAGCCGATGACGACCTCCAAACTGTGTACATTCATCGATGTCTAACGATTAAAATAGAAAAAGATATATCAATGCTTCTAAGCGTATCAAATACATCAGAATTAAAGATTTTTGACAAAAGATTGCATAGTACCTAAACCGTTCACTCTCCTTTCTATTTTTTTTCTTCTGACATCAATCACACATATAGCTAGCTGAAAGTTCAATCTTATGACGGGAATTTATTAAACAGCCAATATATCAATTGTGTCAAATTCCTGGGAAATACGTTAAAATATGATTACTCAAAATCTTAACTTTTTCCTTAACTCTATCCTCTTATTCCCTCTTAAATAACTAGAAGTCTTTGCTTTTCTTTGCATATTTTTTAAGGTTCTTAACCATGAATAGTTATAGTTATGTTGTGCCAATGATCCAGTAAAACTATTGCCATAGCTTTTTTTCAACACTGCCTCATGAACTTGGACATGATGGTTCTCACTTTCGGATTATTGGAGACAGCCACAGAGTTCCGCTTCATAACTGATAGAACAAAGCGTATGAAAGATCTACGATACGGTGCAAACCATCTGCAGAAACGCCTGCCTCAGCTAGTCCTACTGAAACAGTCTCTACATGTGTAGTTGAGGCATTTCTGGACGCTGTCTACAAACAATACTCCGACGGGGAGAAAGGCAAAGAAACCACATTGGCCTGTTAAATGAGTGTGATAAAGGAAGGGAAAAAACACTCATTTATCTACCATCTGAAAAACCCTTTTTTATCAGGATGAAAGGATCAAGTGCTCAAACTTTCATTCCGCCCCTATTTTGAGAAAATGAGCGTCTACTACACAAGGATGATGATCCGGAATGGAGGACCAATGATGGAAGTGTGATATGGCAAAGATATCTAAGTGATACTGGGACGAGTAGTGAGTATATGGGCAAAGACTTTCATTCTTCTCAGGAGATACATAACCAGCTACAAGAGAATGGTCAAATGGCAAGACACATATCACACGAGACTCAGTGCCTTCTTGTTTCTCCAAATGGCCTACAACTTAGGGTAGTCGATCTTCAGGCAGATGTCCTATAGATAAAAGGTACATGCGGAGAGACTGCAATGCTACAATAAAACCCCTAAAATATCCAGCATATGATGTACTTCGAGATTTCATCACCAGAACAAACATGTACATTCCGCCCGTCAGCTCTGTCATAGAAGCGTCCAAGCACTTCGTTTGGAATGACTGGGCATGAACGGGGTTCACCCTAATTTGAATTAATGAGGTCAAGCAAAAATTCGAAACATTTAAATCAGTGCAGCGTACAATTCCGACCCGAGTCCTTCCTCTGAAATAGACTCATTGTTATATGTATCGGGGATTTGAATATATATACATATATAATAAGTATACTGATTTATATGATTTCATTCAGAATGCTGTATTCTTAAAATTAATTTTGACTTTATGTATTCACTCTTAAAGTTTATTTATGATTCTTTTAACGAGTTATTACAACTTTCCTCGATGTCTCTGATTTGGGCACGGGTTTGGGTTCGGGCACGACGTGCAACTTTCTCCCTACCTTGTGCAAATTGTTACAATGTAATTCCTTAAGAGAGCGAAAGGGACCGATGTTCCCTTGCCGCCATGCACTCGCTCACGCGATTCCTGATCGTTGCGATCTAGCTCCTTCGCTGTCTTTTCCTCGCTCTTTCAACCTGAGGTTTAGTAAACAGTGTTGAGATGCCCTAACTGACCACCATAATTAAGTGTGAGTACACATTTTAACAGGAAGAGAAATAAAGTGACAGTTACCTTCACAGCTACGTTTATCGGCAGCAAGCTGGTATCCACTTCTACACTGGCAATGGAATGACCCGTACACGTTCAAACAGCGGTACTGACAAATGTTAGGGTCTTCACACTCGTTGATATCTAAGGGTAGATGAGTTGTACTTTTTAGATATGATCGTTATATTTTTGGAAAATAAAACTCAAACAACGATTACAAGATATCGAATGTTCTTTTACTTAAGTATGAATCATAACAAAATCTACATTCCTGATTGATGGAATTACCTGAATGACCCATATAAATAACCCATTTCATGACGTACTACATGTAATGCTTTTAATTTCATCCTGAATTTTCCTCATATCAATCATAACACTGTCTTTACAAATTCAGATAATTATGTATTATAAGAGTACTTTCAAAACAGTTAAAATGTATGCTGCAGATATTAAATATTCAAGTGATTTTAACTAATCGATCGTTTGAAACCCAAGTTGTCGTTTCTTTAATATGTTTTAGACTTAATCTAATCGAGATAAAAGATTTTTTTTTCTTCTTCTTTTTTTTTTTTTTTTTTTTTGTTTGGTTTGTTTGGGTTTTTTTATATATATATTATTATCATTATTTTGTCGTTGAATTTACACAAGGAATGATACAGGAGTAAAATTCGCATGAATTATGGTATCAGCGGATTTCGTGACCAAGCTTTAAACAAAAAAGAGCCATCAAAATTGTATATTTGTGGAGAACCACAAATTGTGAACCCCACAAATAATATGTGATTTCACGGTATTCGCCTGATATCCGGTCTAAAGTCTCGACATTCTAATCGGTTAGAAATTTATTATAACGTTCAACGAGAACTTATTTTTAATGTGTCCTTTCAAAATCCTTCTGTTTCATTTTTTTAATTGACGATATCGCAAAAACTGCACCCTGATTTACCGGCTGTTATTGACATCGGTTATTGCCTCTACCTTAATATGAATTGTCCTTCCCGATTTCTTTTTAAATGCATTGTTAGTAACCAAGAGTTGATATTGCAACAGTGTAACCGTTCTTGCACTTGAACATAAACCATCCTCACATCCGTACGCTCTTGGACCAAAATGCCACAGTTCCCTCGCCTACACGATGTTTGTCCTCCAACTAAGCAACTGTCTTTCCACTTACCTACACATCGTCTGCCTTCAGACTTTAGACCGTCATTACAGCGACATCGATAACTTCCGGGAGAGTTCTCACACACAGAGTCGAACGGACATACAAAGTTATCCCTACACTCGTTAACGTCTGCATATAAAGAAAATAAGTTTAGACCAAATTTACTTTGTACAAAGCAATACAAAATACAATACATTCCAAAACATTTGGATCCTTTTTGTATGACATTTTTTGAGTTTGAATACTAAAACTCTTTCAAAATAGAACAAAACCATTACCTTGATTCTGACAAAACTATGGTGGTTGGAGTAAATGTATGAATATATCTACTTAATGGCCATTAATGGTTTTTACACATGGATGATTATATGATTATATATGCTTTCTTCATCCATGCATGTTTAATTAATAAGCTCCATCGTACCTAATGCTATATCTGCAAAAAAGATGTTATTTACGTCTGTGACTTACAACCATTCATTTTCCACGCCACAACACCAATACTAACAACATTAATTAATCGAGGTTCCATTGAATACTGGTACAAAGACAATAACGTACCTTCACAGTTACCGTTCTGGTCAAGTCTATATCCATTTGGACAGTCACAGATGTAGCTTCCGGGACGATTAATGCACCTCTGGTTCTGTTTACAGTCATGTAAATTTCTGCTGCACTCGTCAATGTCTTTTTGAAAATAAGATTAGTAAATAGCAGCAAGGTTATGATAAGTTGATATATAGACTGTTAGTACAGCAATGTATTAATGTGATCAAATGACTGACGTAAAATTCAAATCAGGAGTGATATGTTATATACAATATAACGCGCACATATATATCACTATGTTATACAGGCAAAAGACACGGAAAAAGTTTCTATAATTTAAGTGACCTTTTCGCAATAAGATGATTTGCTTAAGTGACCTTGTCACAATAAGGTAGCGTTTTTCTAATAATTTTAGTGGCGGTTTCGACAGTTTATTTGGGTAATTTGAGAGAGAAAGAACCAGTAATGTCTATGCCAAACATGTGTAATGTACGTACCGACACAGATCTGAGTATTAGGGTCCACTTCATGTCCAGGTTGACAGTCCAACTTACTTCGACAACGATACGACCCGTACGTGTTCTTACATACCTCTGTCCGCCTACAAGTGTTGGGACGTTCACATTCGTTTATATCTGCAAGGGAAGTACTGTTTTAGTAGAATTGCGTTGTTTTTATAATATTTGTTCAGTGTCTGTACACAGTAAAATAATGTTTTTCTTGAGTTTTTTTTTTTAATTTTTAATGTAAATTTGTTAGATGTTTCATACTATAAATAGATCTCAGTGTCCATGTAATAACACTTGTAAAGGGAAGTTCTATAGTATTATTATTACTCTTTGATTTCAGTGTTATTTTCAGACTGCAAATTCTATATCTGTAGTTATTGAGTATGTCCGTGATGAAATTAATTCTCATTTTCGATAGAGATTTTCCATATTATCAACAATACAACTAGTTCCAATAATCTGTTTTACTTTCTATTATCGTAGAATAAGATTTTCTGAACCGTTATTACAATTTTTCATTACGGATAAGTTTATCTTAAACGCGGAAACCTTACTGCATGCTGCAATGGATACTGCAGTTATTACAACAGTAGGAACTAGTAAAACAAAAAACATACTACTGCAATGTTGACAAAATCTTTATTCAGATACACATTTGATGTAACTATTGCAAAATAATAACGAAAGAAAGTTTTCAATGAAATTTCTGAAAATTGAGAATAAGACCAAAATATTATCAGAAACAGAGGGGTGCTTGCTTAAACATTTAGGATATCACAACAGAGTGTCTGTCATTACAATCGTTTACTATAATATTATCATACCACAATAGCATTGTCTGCAAGAGATGTTTATAAAAACTTAAATGGCGGTGTTTCAGTTAACAATAATTATCTACGAGTACTCATTATAGTAATCAGTATATGTAGTGTTCTACAATAACAGTGTGTAGTATATTGTAATAATATTGATGTTACTGAAAGTATTGGGTAAAAACTTCATTGGGGACAGGAACTGTTCATTTTATTTGGTATGGATAAACCTCAGTTATATTTGTTGCATGTACAAGAACTGTCGACAATATTTGGTATACTTAGATAGCAATTAAAACAGGGAGTCTGTATAGCTGGAATATTTGTTATACTAAAACAGTGTTCTTAATAGGGCTAGCTCACCTACGCAGGTTCCTCGCCTGTTTGGTTCCAATCCACGCCGACAGTTAATAGGTTCACATCGACCAAGAGCAGATGAAAAGCGGTATCCGAACTGACACTGCAGCGGCACACACCGAAAGGACCCCTGGATGTTGATACAGTTATATCCGGAACCACAGTTATGAATCTCCAAGGCGCATTCGTCCCGATCTAAGACAACACGGAAGTAAAATAGATGCTAGATATTCATCAAATCAGTGTTGAACTCCATCGCTTCTATATAATCTTTTATTTCATCCCTGTGCTTTTCTTAAGGATTTGTTTCATATAATTGATCCAAGCTTCTATCGTATGGTATAATGTAGTGTAGTACCTGTAATATCTTTATAATTTATTTTTCCATGCATCCGATCTAATGATGAAAACTTAGACATGAGTCGTGCCATAGATGTACCGATCTACTACAATATAATCAAACGTTGCATTGAGTGCTTTCAATTTTAAATGCATTTTACATTAGCGTTTATGTCATTCAAAAAAATTAAATCAACATGTTGCTTGATATTGAATGATACTCACCGACACATTGTTGGGTGTCCGCGTCTAAAGTGTAGCCGGTCCCGCAGCCAAGGAGGCGTCCACATCGAAATGACCCAATGGTATTCTCACAACGCTGGGTCGAGTCACAAGTGTTGATGTTCTCCGCACATTCGTTTATATCTGAAAATTTATGCAGACTTTAGAAAAAGATTCAGACATCTTATTTCAAATTTGTTACGGAAAAGGAAGTGTTTTATCGATTATTTATTTTTTTTTATTAAAAACAAAAAACATTTGTTATCCCGCTAGCACAGAATGACCACAAGAAATAAACATCTATTATGTATTTTATCATAGAAAACGTACATTTTACTTTCTGGCGAGTTCGATGTAATAATTATCTCATAGAATACTACATCGTACTAATTCGTGCAGAAAAATTATTCTCTCGAACATAATAAAGAACCGTATTGCGTTTCCTCATTAAGTTGCGGAATAAACGAGTGTTACCAACGCCTAATAGTCTTTTGTGGAGAAAGTTTAAAAGGGTTATAAACCAAAAACCAAAACCAACAAACTGCATGTGATCCATCTTGAACAGATTGGTCGGTTAATCTTTTTTCAAAGAACCCGTCGATGGGTTAAGAAAATATAGAAATATTGACTCAAAGCATATCATTTCACGCTTTCAAGTTTAGCTAAAAATATCCTAAATTTATTCCAATTATCTTTACATGAACATTTTGTTTCGAAACCAACGGTTACAAAAATATTAACTATTCAAAATTAGATAATATTTGATTTCATATTCACCTGATTTCCGGTTTAAGGTTCGGAAAACTTTCGTCACTTTCCGTAAACTAAAAAATGTATCGTCTGTTATATAAATATACGAAAAGTGCCGAAAGGTCCGGATCTTGCATGAAACGTTCACATAACGAGTAAGCCCATATGTCTATCATATCTACGCATGCCACGCATAATAAAATATAATCATTTGAATCCAATTACATGTTATAATGAAAATCCTTTCAATGGTAACTGAAGCGGTGAAACAGGCAGTTCAAAATGATATAAAATACACACATTCATGACACATTGATCAAATTGCACTGGGTTTTAGGCACTGCCTACTTCTTATTATATTTAGGTAATAAAACTCCCTGAGGGAAGCAAGTGACTGAGCTTGCGTGGCGAGCTATTCTGTATATAGAGTGAAACTTTACCCCGACATGTCAAAGAGTGACTGCTGTAGCATATTTGTTATGGCATGTCATACATATGTTTATTTAAAAACATACACTGGAGTGATTTTTGTATATCAAGATATTTTTGCAAAGTGAAAATTGACACTGAAAAGTCATAGTGAATTTTGTATATCAAGTTATCTTTGCAAAGTGAAAAGTTACCCTGTCATGTCAAAATGAATTTTGTATATCAAGTTATCTTCGCAAAGTGAAAATTGACACTGGCATGTCATAGAGTGATTTTGTATATCAAGTTATCTTTGCAAAGTGAAAAAATACCCGGTCACCTCATAGTGAATTTTGTATATCAAGGTAGCTTCGCAAAGTGAAATGTTACCCTGTCATGTCAAAGTGAATTTTGTATATCAAGCGCAAAAAGTGAAAATTGACACTGGCATGTCATAGAGTGATTTTGTATATCAAGTTATCTTTGCAAAAAGAAAATTTACCCCTGCATGTCATAGAATGATAGTTTTATGTAACAAACACATCAATGCAACCCAAATGTTTTTTCTGGCATGCCATAGCGTGATCGATACATATGTTACCATTGTATAGTGAAAATGTATCCTGGCATTTTACAGAGTGGTTATTGTACAAAAAACTATCATTGCAAAGCGGAAATTTACCCTGGCATGTCATAGAGAGGTTGTTGTATAAGAAGCCTTCATCACAGCGGCAGGTAAAACTACCGGGTGTATTGACACACAGCATGTGGACACCATAACAGTTATGGAGGAATACAGTGCATTCGTCCAAGTCTAAAACAGATCACCCATAACATTATTAACCGTACTACTACAGTGGCGTATTCAAACTGTGTACGCCGATAGTAAATTGTCATTTCATAAGCATATTTTCATTATATCATGTGGAGAAATGTCTTTGACACATTTTGGCCTCTACTTCTCGTCAGTCATTCCCCGAATTCTATCTTCCTGATACTAGACTTTAGGGATACAACTATCATGTTAGACTATTTGGTCACTCAATTTTACCACCTGACATCAATTATCATCTTCACGCAATAGATAATTCAGCGTGACGCTAGGTGACAAAGTAATCTCCTATTACAGGATTGTACATTACTACGCAGCAATGACAACCCATCTTCTTAACGTTATCTTAAGTATAACATTAGTGTCACTAATCAGTATGAGTCAGCATGTGTTAATTAAAAAGAAAACCAAAATCTAGCAAGAGACGACATCATACGGCATGGCGTTCTGTTATATTGAGACTGGTCTTAAACTAGTCTTGTATATCTTGATGTATAAATAACATGAAAGTGATAATCACAGAGAGGTTCTTCTGGAGTGTGGATCAGTAAAAACGACAGGAAAATTTTCTCTTTTTGCTTGTTTACTTTATAATGTAATCCGGCAGAAGGACGACCTTATTTCTTTTTGTCTTTCAAAAATTACTATAAGACTGCTTTTCGATGCCTTTCGTTATTTGACAGCCCTTCATGAGAATACGAGAGTGTATTGGAGAAAAACTATTATGTATGTATATTATAACGTATACATTTTATTAATCTCATGAACAACTCATTGCTGTGGTGTATTAATTACAGGTTGCTTAAATATGTCACTGAACAGGACATTCCCAATTGCCATTGGTGGAGGACTGATTAAATGCACTGGCTGGTTCTCAACGCGTATTGTCTTGCTGAATCTGAGAGGTAAAGAACGAGTAAGTTTATCTTGATTGGATATGCTATCTTACATATAAGCAATCTTGTGTGTCCTGCAGGTATACAGGACAAATACGAAGGTGAGGATAAAGTGGAGAGGGTAATTACTTGTACTATTAGTTCTTCATCAGTATCTGGGTTCTACAAGTCGGAAGTAACTATTCAATATCGCATTTCGCGAGGTTTTAAAGACAGTTGAAATACCATTTTTAAGGAAGATGGTCGGGAAAGACCTCTCTAGTTTATGTTGCACATTTAGGGACCATGGTGAAAAGCATGAAAAATGGATGAAGAAACTCTCATCATGCCATATAACGTTAAAAACTACGTTCCAAATTACGTTATTTACATTGCGCAGCTGATTCGACTTGCATCCAGGACTTTTAACCGATATCACGACTTCAGCGCAAGGCGTCGTTAACTGACAAACTCACGACACGAGAGAAGCAGGATGACGAAGATTACGGGGAAGTTTTAAGGCCGTCAAACGATCTCGTTGGAAAATACATTTCTTTGTGCAATAGGAAGTCTGATGTTCATTGAAATACTCATTAATATCCCTAAGTCACAGTTTGGCCAGCCCATCCATTCCGGAAGTCATGTGGATGGGAGTAGTTGCCAGGTTAACAGGGCTGCTCTGGTCTTGCTTTATTATCCACACCATGATGGTATTAATCGTGACAGTCGACAGAAAGCTGAGTTGTAACATCAGGGCATTTTGTCTTCTGATTGCTTGTCTACATTGCCTGTGGAGCACATGACGGGTGGATCGAATTTCATAATATGATTAACAAACTTCTTGTTCAGTTTTCACCTACCGTGAGCTCGAAACCGAACTTAAGGATGAGCAATTTATAAGGCAACAATTCTGTTTGTAATAAACGCTACGCAGATTCATACAGTTTTCATATCCCCATGATCACATTATCTGAAAGAGCTGTCAAATAGTGAGAGGTCTGGAGAATCAGTCTTCTTCATTGTATTTAAAGTTCGTATATAATAATCCCTGGAATATATAAAATAGAACTTAGCCTGTTCGATGAAGATAGGTTGAATGGTTCAGACAATTATCCTATATCTACATTTTCTCGGAAGGAAATGTCATGCGACTAAATATGTAGATATACATGCATCCATGCGTTACCGTCGCAGGTCATGGACACCGTGTTGTAAGCAAATCCAGGGTCACACGTTTGAGTCAGTTTTCTTTGGCATTCACCAGAAGCAATATCATATTCCATGCCGTCCGGACATTCACTGACAGGCGCATTGACGGGTTCACAGCTAAATCCGCCGTCTGTGTTTACACATCTGGTGTCACCGGGACAGTTAGACGTCCCAAGAACACACTCGTCATTGTCTGTAAAATAGCATCTACAAATAAACCAGCTGATTCGGTGTCTCACTAAACAATACCCTGGCCTTTAACGCTGTATAACCACTACCCAGGAAATAACGGGACGATCGTACTATTAAAGGTTTGGATGGACAATGAAATATCTCATCGTAGAAGAATGCGTCTGAGCCACATTCACCTTCTGAAGAAGTTTAGTTGCCATTACTTTCCATGGCACTTTCGGTTACCTCCCTTTTTAGACTTAACTACCTTAGTTTTTACTCAGGTTTTATATTTTAAAAATGTTGGCTTAAAACAAGATTATTAACATCGCTTCTGTCCAGGAAAAAACTTTCACGAAATCATCTCCTATTTCCATTCAAAAATTGGACGTATTTGTATAATTGTACTGGGAACAAGAGATTTTATCAGATAAGAGTTAACATGTGAGAGAACTGTCGTATTTGGGACGTATAATTACATGGGGGACGTTGACATTCAGGGTGGCTGCCATACACGTATTTGCACTGGACCGAGAAACATTACCATGGCAAATTACTGGAAATTATCAAATCAAACCAAAGTTAGATGTGCTGTATTATCATTACCGTAGTAAAAAAAATTATAAAGAATTACGACAGTCTAATTCGACGATAGATTATTAACTATGCAGAAACTATTTTTCAGTGTGAATTAGACTGCCCCTGCTCCTATGAAAACCAGAATATGATCAGTCGTGGAGTATATTATGTTGGTAAAAATATATAGAATCTTACACAAGTTTCCATCTGGTATCGGATGTACGAAACAAAACTAAGAACCTAACAGATGAATGGAAGCAATTCTTTTTTATCCCGTGATTGATAATTCAGGCAAGTATTGTTTAACTTTGACATTTCGCGTCATTTTAGCTCTGCATCTGTGTTCCTCATTGCTACGTCACAGTGTATTTTTAATGTGTGACGTCATTTAACAATCTAAACATGATGTCAAAATTAAATTTACAACACATGGGTATCTTCATTGATCTAACGTGTTTATAATAACCCCGCCATCTCCATCCCAAGCCCCAGTCATCCACTTACTCCATCTCATCCCCGCGACCTCCGACCGTCCAAGTCCGCTTTATATGACCCCCGAGTACTTACCTTGACATGACACTCCGTCCTCGTCAAGTCGGTAGCCTCGGTTACACTGACATCGTACACCAGCAGTATCATCAACACAACGGTGCTCACAAGGATTGTACACAGAACAATTTATTCCTAATAAATGACAGAAAAATGAGTTAGTGTCCTTACTGAAGTACAGAACAGATGTGCATATAGTATCTGTATGCTCATGTGAGAAAATAAACTGAAACAAATATAAATTACAAATGTAAAGACTTCAAAGGCGCGCAATAATTTTTTTGTCATTATTACCAAAACTTCAACAATACCTTCAAACTACATTAGTGAAGATGTGACAAGAAAAAATACATGAAACACGACCCATGTTACTTTTATTGATTAAGAGACGCTTGTTTCATTTTAAACGAATAATATGGTTGAATATTCCCGACAGATTTATTTTGAAAAACCGGAAGTTAGAATTTAGAAATTAATGGACCAGTTCAAGACCGTGTAAGTGCAAAGTTTTTAGTAACGATGACCAGGATAATGATATCGCATGTGCGTGGTTTTACGAATTTCAATGAAGGCTATATCATTTCTCATAAAGCATAAACTTCGTTTGAGTAAGTGACAAGGGGAATATCAAACACACCGTTGTCATCTAATATGCACGTGCTGGCGTCATCATGCAGGGTATATCCAGGTTCACATTCACAGCGGTAGCTGCCCAACGTATTTACGCACCGGTGACTACACAACACACCCGGATGTAACTCACATTCGTCGATGTCGTTATCAACTACAATAAACATTAAATAACAATTTTTTGCCAAAAGACAAAAGATGATAATTCTAAATTTTAATTCTAAGATAATTTCTTCATTCCACGTTAAAGTATTTGAAACATGTCTCTGTATTTTTATATAAAGATGTATGTATAGATAAAAAAATTTTAACATATCAATATAAATTAATGGAATCATGATGATGAATCATCGTCCCCGGTAAATCATAACGATATGGACGTCAATACTGAGGTCTTGAGTTCGTCTCTGGAGCGATATTGATCCAGATAAGTAATCTACTCTTCAACATCCAAAATTTAACTTCGTCGTTTCCCGCTCACTCTACATATCATAAACATGAGAAATCCTTGTACCGATAGACCTACACAAGCCCAAACTAACGTTGTCCACTTGGTGGTCATTCTGAACACCAGTTGAAAAAGGATTTCCAATTCGATTTTCGATGTCAAAAGTTTTGGGTGATACGATCATAGATCTTTAACACCATCTTCAAAGAATCTGGGATAGGAAAAAATATCAACTGATTTGTAGGGATTTAGGTTAATAAGTATCTGATACTTAAAACATGCACGATGATATCAACTCGGGATAAAGGATCCCCGGAAATAGAAATTTAAATTTCAATTTTTTTTTTACTTATCATTGCGTGTCTTTTTGTACGATGTTTGTTGCAAATATCTCAAGACAAGTAAAGAAATGGTGCGACTATTTCAAATTCTGAATCTCTCATATTTCTACCTACTGATATTTCCTAATGTTACTCTGTAAGGTTCATGCGCCCGGTTATTTTTTTTCATATTTTATGAAAGTGATCAGTCTTTGTACTAGCAAAGAATATCTTGAATCGTTTACGGAACAAGATAACACCGTGTAGTACATGTTTATTTGAATTCTTGACTATTTCATCTTGTTGCTTTGGTAACAAATGTTGAATATTTAAGAAGAGGTAGCCGTTATTTTTTCGACTTCTATAACGAGTGTTTGTTGCTTCTAGAATTATTTGACACTCTTCCAGAAATGCCTAGTGCAGATTGCAAAATGTTGTCGGAGGATTTGGGAAGGTTTGCATGCACCAATAATCCATTGCAAGTTTCTCAACATACATATATGTAGTTGTTGAAATATTACGTTACCTTGATGGGGAAACACCACGACAACGGGATTTAAAACAGCCAATTTGTCATTGAGCTATCATGTTCAATGATGACAAAACAGATTTTGCAGACTTACATATCCCAACCCAAACTCACCACTACCGAACCTCTCACGTCCAGCCATGCAGTAAACGACAAAGCTTTCATCACGATATCAAACTTGATAACACCCATTCGAGCAGTAAAACATGAGCAGTGAATGTTGGAGATACATGTGTAAGTACATTTATAATGGATTGTGTGCACAGTGTCTCATTTGAAGTTTTTAACCAGATGCGCAAAATGCTACAACCGTATGAACCTCCTGGGGGGCGTGGTAACCATCAGTCGCACAGTTGGAGAGCGGTCGACAGTGGTACATGTTAGTTTAGACAGATTCAAAGACCAAACTGTTTGCTTTTGTTGACATCCGGTGATTTCTTGCAATCAACAGCATTATGTGACTTTCTTCCCAATAATAATTACACTGTCCAGTTGCGCGCATGTTCAGTTGGTCTAGAACCGTCACAAACGAATTTCAAAATCGATCTATTTTACATGATACCTGAAAAATAAAGATATCTTGGACGCATAAGATACGGCCACGTGTATCAATGCACGAGCTAGTTTGGACATGTGTGAAAGACTCTCGGATAGGGCAACGTGTGACAGTTCCTTCGCTCTTGAATTAATGGTGTAAAATGATAGTAAAACTATTATTTTTCCATCCACTAACAATTGTGCATCATAATCATAAAGGAGTGAACATCTTAATACGAATGGTTAATGTAATCTGAAAGTGGAAGGCAAATAATTTTGCTGTTAGTTTGTCCTTTACCTGTCTTGTTGACTGTTCCAATACAACATTCTTTGAATTTCTGATCACATGGTCCACCAAAACCGACGTCAGATAGATAGTTACAATCACCGCCCGCTTCACGGTGTGCAACGCCCAGATGACAGCAGTGACAACATTCCTTAAAAGATAAAATATCTGAACTGTGATTAAACGTTTAAGAAATAATCATATGTAGGAAAGAAAACAAACTTTAAAACATTTACATAAAGCGTTGTTAATGGTATGTATCAATAAAAGTAATTACGAAGATCGTAGACATATTTAAATTGTTAAGACTGTAAACGAATCAGCAACAGATATTGCCAATTTTTCGATTAAAACAATCAAAACAAAATTGTGAGATGGACAAAAAAATATAGCATGTACATTTATAATAAGGTAAAGAAAATGCCTTTCGGAACACAGAAGAGAGAACTCAAAGCACAATGCTATTTATTTAGTACATCCTTAGTCAAGTCAAGACATCGAAGAACAGCAATTGCAATGAGCACATCCGCAAACAACGAACTTTGGGTTTTCTGGAAATTATCTTACAATGCCATTCACACATACCGTAGATAGTACAGAATCAATTAACAGCATACACAGTAAACAGCCAAACGTGTCCGTGTGGCTGGAGGAGATTGACAATATAAATGTATTTACATCAATATCAGTGTGGTATTTTGAATTCAATTGTATATAAAAGTGTATTTACTAATTATTTTAAACATAAAATTAAAATATTGGCTCACTTCTTTAACAGGGACATCTCAGTCAATCTTGAAGATCTTCGTCGCGACCAGGGAAACAACATTTCGGTACCTTTTTGCATATATAGATAAAAAGTCGGCGTTACACACCACTTTTACGAAGATGAGTTCAAATATTTAACCTACCAGATACTGTTCCGCTCCAAACACATTCCGAGATGTACACAAGGGGTATTCCAAAGCATCTTGATGACCTCGATCACACTGCTGTTTCTGTTTTGCTTTCATGCAACAGACTTCGAGAATAGCACGGCACTCGCTTTGGTCGTCTGGACTGATGCCTTCAACTGCTGTAGGATAGGTGTCACACCTCTGGTTTCGCTCTCCTGCCCAGTTAGACCCTACTAAACAGCATTCGTCCAGAACCAGATCTATAGCACCTGAATGAAAAGACATCTATTACAATAATGCCACACAGGAAACAAATACATATAGTACCATCGACATATTCAATCGCATGGTGCCACCTGTAAAAACAATACAACTGATTGGTCGGAGAAAATCACCATGTATTGCAAACTGAATTGAGCACCAAACCGTTATAGAAATGTCGATTACTGCGCGATAGAAACATTTATTTTGTCCACTTTACAGGAAATATCAGATATATATGTATATATCCTTATATCTTTATCATTGCAATAGTACAAAGAGAGTAACATTAAATTTTCAAAAAGCATCTGGTCTATCATTGAAACCTGCCGTGTAAATCCTGGTCTATCTAAGTAAGTGATATCTAACCGTAGTACAGTGTTAATGACAAAGGGGTCACACAAGGCATGCATGCTTTAACAGACATCTCATTGTAGAATCGCATGTCAATAGCATCTTTTGATAATTTAGAGTAAGATAGAGTAGAGACAAACAAACTGCATCATACAGCTGTTTCGTTCTTTATCTACATAATGTTCACATCGCACAAAGAAATATGATTAAACTCATGTTGACGTCCTTAAAATTATGGTACACACGATGGTTAAGTTCGATCGATTTTAAAGAGACAAAGAAATTGATGGACATCTTTGCGTGGCCTGTTTTGATAAGCTTTCTTTTCATAAAATTTGAAAATTAAAAAAAAAATAAGTTCGCCAAGTGTTGGACATAGATGTCCGTGTGCATGTATATACTCTTTTGGAATATCACGTCATTAAACTCGACGAGATGTATTTTTTTAACCAAAAATTTTGAATTATTTTCACAAATATAAACTTGGTATATATCTTCTTGGCTAAAAATGAACTGTTTCACAAAATGTGTTCTAATAAAACTCACAGCAGTGTAATTGTACCATTTTTCACCTTTCTTTGGAAAGAAATATCTCAAAGCCAGAAAATGGAGGTATCCCTTTAGATAGGGATGGAATCGAGTATGACAGTGTGTCAGGTGAGAAAATCAAAAGATCCTTCTAGGACACATGATTCATTCTTCTCGCGCTTTTTTCTGCTGTATCCGTGGAAATCTTTCTTTTATTTAAATTTTGACCAGGTTTTATCTAATTTGAGTGAAGATTCGTTGACAAGTCGGTCTTTTCTTTGTTTGTTTTGTAGGTGTTTGTTTGCACGTAATGAGTAAGAACTTTGTTTTGAATTATTCTTCGTACGTCTTTGGTTATACCAAGGGTATTATATTGATGTGAATAAAACACGATGGCGATTATGTAGTTTTGAGATACGCCTGTAAGCGACGCAATGGTTCCCCGCAATGATCGTCCACTCCAGTAACTGAACTATAAACGCTGATACGTGATCTGTGTGGTACACGCTATTCCACGATAGGCTATGTAGCACGGTAACACATCTCAACAGAAGACATGTCTCACAGTGATAATGAAATTTCAAATCGAGATGTTTTAAAACGCAAATCACAGAAAATGTTATATATGAAAGTAATGCACGAAAGATTTTAATCAATTAAAGCGGGTTTGTCCTATTTTGGTAATACTATAAATGTTGACAAGGTATGTCTTGGAGTGTCCGATCCTATTCGACATGTCACTATCGTTTACAAACGAGAGTAGGTAAGTAAGAAATATGATTTGTAACCGCCAGATTCGACCTAAACTGCGGGCAATAATAGAACGAATTCTCCACTTCGATAAATTTGGACTGAAATTCCAATGAGTTACATCCAATGCTAAATATCGGGGGGAAATGGATATGTGTCACGTGTTATTTTTAACAGATAGTCATAGTTGGTACCAGAAGCAATGTGTACTAAAACATGGGGGTTTCCCCGGATTAAATACAATTTTGACACACAGCGCATACATGTACCAACTTTTAGACAACAGAACCTAATCTAGTATGATCAGATATAACTTAAATCTTATCCTTGAAAATAGGTACAAGCAAGTGCTGATACCGAAAAATTGAAAAGACAAATTTGACCACAGATATAAAGTGCCTATGTATTCAATATTGAATTAACGATTAAAATGTCGTTGATTTCTACACTACCGTACTCTCTAGTACGTGCGGTAAGTTCACATGGAGTCTCACGTTCGATCTCAGCTACTGACATCATGATATCATTATTTTTTTGTTTTTTATCAATATACATGTTTAATAAAATGATTCTCGTCGCGAATGTCCTTTGATTTAGTTATTAATTTTCATATGCAATGGGGCAATTACTGGCTAAAACCCGACCTTATTATCTTTGGTGATAATGAATGCAGTCAATGTTCAGTTTATCTTCGGTATTATAAAAGTTCACATATTGAGGAATTATCCGGCCATTGAATTGATTTTGTTTTTGCCTTTTTTCCTTGTAAGTGATATGCGCAAACTAACATATCAAGTATGATATACTTACTGAATGCCCAGTGATTACGTCAGCGATTATGTTAAGTTTTCCGCTCTTCACGACACCTGTGTATCATATTTCCATATCAAATCTGGTGGCTTGTTAAATCGCATGTTAATCTATGCTTGTGGTATACATTTAATTAACAACATATTCAGGAGAAAAGGGAAGAGTTTGGGTTTCAATGGTGAAAAAAATATACCACAGTTAAATATATATACACATAGACTTTAGTTCGCATATATTAATGCTATTGTTTAAAAAAACAAAAGAAGTTTTCGAATTGTTCGTCTGTACCTCGTTTCACTAAAGGGCATTAAGTTCGGACCCTGTCGGTTAGAAAGACAAGGCAGACTATAGGTATGCGTAAATCTATCATGGTTGTACAAAAACATGGACACTTCATGGACGTTAAAAAGTCGACTTATCCAGACAGTACGTGCTGGAATGTGATCGGATCGAGATCAAACAGAAAGGCTAAGTACACAGGTTCAAGGGAGTTGTGAGCGGGATGCGGGAGGGAGCGAGGGCAGATAGAGGAATGAGGTGTAGCGGCACTTCAGTAGGATAAGCTTTATATATCTGTCCCACTTCCAAATACGTAATTAACTTCCTGATGCATGTACACAATAAGGATAAGAACACTGATTATCAACAGGTTTCTATAACAGCACAGATTACAAAGCACACATCTATTTATCACTTATACCATAGTTTCGGTATCATATGTCCCTTTGTGTATACAATAAACGATGACTTTTGATCACGATGTAACAAAACAAAATTACGGACAAAATACTAACTTAGAATTTGATAACAGAAATTTGAGGCTCGAAACCATGAACTATGCTACTGAAATAGATGACGAAATCAGGTAGTTTTTAAATGAAAATTGGTTTAATTGATATATGATTATAAGTGCGTGTGGACGGTGGTGGTGCTTGGTTAAGAAGAAGACGAAGAAGAATAATGATGATGATGATGGTGATGATGATGATGATGATGATGATGATGAGCCAATTGTAAGACCTTTGACTTTATCAGATGTGTCTAAATTTTTTTCCAGATTGATAGCCGACATGTTTATAGCGGAAACTGAACGTTTTAATGGACATCCTCGGATATGGATAGATGTTATGACCTAAAGCTGCAGTGCCAGAACAACGAAAAGGATTTCCTAGAAGGCTTTCTCCGTGCAGTTGTGGGACATTTCCGGGGTCCTTTATCAGATTATATAATTTTGCACTGTATTGTCACTATGTAAAAACTGGTATATTTTTCTGGGTTAAGAGATTAGAAACCGCATGGAACGCCATTAGTAATATTAGCTTTATTCCTAGGTATTTCCGTCTATCTTTCTGTAGATTTTTAAAGCTCGATGACATGTCTGAAGTTTCTTTTCAAATACAAACCGAATGTTTACATTTTAAACTGCATTAATTCGTCCCTCAAACCACCAATCAATACACCAGGCTGTTCCTATTACGAACCTGCAAGGTCTATAAGAATGTTACGTTTTTTGTTTTTGTTTTTTTTTTTAATTATTGCTTACGAAAATATTTGAAATGTAAATATTAGTATTTAACAGCTATTTGTTCCGGTTTATGATCCTGAAAGTCGATACAGGATTGCAGACAAATAACGGTAACACGTAGTACGGACAATCTGACGGGCGCACAAAAACATATTTCAAATTGAGGAAACCTTGTAGAACTTTTGCTGTGTACACCGCAGATTTCATTGACATTTATTTAAAGTAACAGTTTCCAAGCGCGGCCATACGAAAACGTAACGTCATAACTTCCATCATCAAAGAATACGCGTTATGTACACATTGACTTTATGATTGGTTTTTAGGTCAGAGTCACCTATCGTCGTTGTGTGCTGTGTTTTTCTTGTGAACGCGATAATTTGCCTAAATATGAACATGCGGTAAGACCTCAGGGGCACTAATTCGGTGGTAACTAACAGCGTTGTGAAACTTTGTGATTAAAACTTGTGTAAATATAAACAGACTTTGATGAAATTTCGTATGCCTTATACATTTGTAGGATCGTATATCGTTACTCGATGTGCGAGCTGTGCACGGTGTCTGCACGATACATGCACGATATGTGCACGGTTGTAAAACTTCACATCTGTGCGCGGTTCTATCGCACTTATGTGCGATTTTTATCGTAGTTCATGTAAATTTAGGAATGACTTTGTGAATAAGTGTGGGATAGGGGTTATCTATTTTCTAAATTTTATAAAAGTAGAGTCGAGTATATTTCCTGATTAAGCCATAAATCTATAGGTTGGACATATGTAGATCTAACAGATATAGACTGAATGGTTATGTACTATACTAATTAAGACTGTTTTGTTTACAAATTGCCGCACGTGACCGGTATTAGTGTACATCTTAAATGGGCGTCTCTTTTGATATCGGAAATGAATCATAACTTATACCGTCAGGAAAGTGATGTCATTTATATTCCTTCTGTATTATTCTCATTTTTAATCGTCTTGTAACAAAAACATATAGTTTTAGGTAAATATGAAATGTGTTGCTTGTTATGCGGGAGACCTAACGGGTAGGGCGTTGTCAAGTGCATTCCCAAATTCAAATTTGATATTTATTTCTTTGGCCTTTCGACCGTTCAGATTTTTTTACATCATAACCTATAGCCATCAGGAGAGAGTGATAGTGATTGGGAAGAGTGATACACACTGAAATATCAAAATATTTCATGAATTACACATTAGATACAAGGAAATAGTCACTAAATATGTCAACTTTGACTCATAACATAGATACAAATATATACAGGTAAATATATTGTAAGCAACAAGGTTTTGTCACAATTTCAATCATACATATATGTATATACTGTACATATACTTAGTTGATTAAATTACCATCCTGTCGGTTATTAGCCAGAAGTAGATATTTCAATAAATTGTGTAATGCTGATACATCATCAGAAGATAGGAGTTGTATGAATTTGTATACTCTTGGTTTTCTTCTGTAATCAAATTCTAAAGGTTTTGTCGAATTTCTAAATAATGCGGAAAGACAATTATGAAATGGTATCTATCTTCAATCTCGTCGAGATTACAACTGGTAAATTTTCTTTCAGTTTTCTCACAGTATTTCTGAGTCGAACACTTTCTATATCAAGTTTATGTGAAGATTTTCTAATTAAGGTCTAAGCTCTCTGTGAAACTGTTATTTACTTTCGTTATGTAATTTGTACAGTGAAAACATTTGTTAAGTATTGAAAAATATAACTTTGTGGGGATGACGTTATAGTTTGTTGACCATTCTTTTGAAAAATGTCACATAATCTATACTTATATTTAAATAAAACTGTTTTCAACAATATTTGGCTCCCTGATGTAACCAAGACCAATATCATATAATTCCTGCCTAACAGTTATTAACCATATATCGCCGTTCAGTAACATCTTATCATAACATGATTTTATAATACAATTGTCTGTATGCCTCAATTTTATCCAATATTTAAAAATTCTAAATTTTGTGATTATACTGAAACGGTTTCGTCCCGATTCCGCATAAAATTGTTGCTTTTTTAACATGTACCTTTTTGTTGCCGATGGTGTGGAACTACACACGAAGTATACCAACGACTAATCAACGCAGGGACCGGCTGTATTTTGATAACGGTTAAACTACAACAGACCTTTATCTTCACCAATCAATATTTAATATGCCTATGGTCTCTCATTAGTAGTGATTACACGAGTTTTCAGTTTAATTTCAACCCACAATGTACATCAAGAATTTTTACCAAACCGCACAAAATATGCGAGACTGTCCCATAATTGTGCGCTAGATACTGTATCGTCCGTGTGTGCGGACGTTGTGCGGACGATGTATGTGCGCTTGGCTCGTTGGGCGTTACTACTACAGTATCAATAAGTTCTCGGACAAACAGATAATGAGACCTATTTGGTAATATCTTGCACAGTTATGGCACTTTGCTTAAATACTCGTTTTTGAGACATAAATATCTTTTAATTTTACGTCTTAGAAAAAGGATGTGTATTTCAAAGTATTTGGGAAAATATCAGTTATGGATTATAAATTGAAGGTTCACAACCCTTTATTGAAAAAGTGTTGGCCGTTTGGTTGGATTTCTGTTTTTAAGTCGATAGTTCTCACTTTTTGACATATTCTAACAGAACTGATTACTTCTCTATGCAGGAATGACGGTGTGCTGTATATAAAATGTGTAACCTATTGTTCCTATTGAACCACAACACATCTACGTACTGAGTTTCACGGAAATCAGTGAATATTTGCATTTTGGCCAAATAAATGTAGATACCTGTCTGTTGCCCTTTCTTTTGCCCCATAAATTTGATGGGAGCAATCGAACTTTTAAAGCAACATTCCCTTAGCCTTCTTCATCAAAAGTAACATACATGAGAAATTCTATGGTTTAGCCAGGTGACCGCTTAGGTCTATTGGCCTCTTGTGATCAATGGCAAACTGTTATACACGTGAAATATACATGCATGCGATACTCAAGAGAAAAAATTACAGTTTCTCTATATGTTATACCGTATATAATACAAAGGTGCATCCGAGGTTCAATATCTTCTGTTATAGAAAAATCAAAAACTTGAAAAACTTATATAGGTATCCATATTTACAAAAAAAAGTCATTATTTTCTTATTTAATATCGTCAAATATACATATTAGACCGTATACCTACCTTGAGAACACGTGCTCATCAGTAGGACCGAAATCACTATTAAAATCTCCATTTTGTTCCCGAATAAAGTAATAACAAAGGAAGGGCCGAGTGGTGTTGGAGCAGGTGATTCTATAGTCTGAATATTACAGTCTGAGCTAGTGAGGCGCGTATGGGGCCACCCAAGGGTAATGTTGATACTTCATCAAACAAAATATACATATCATCTTCTCGTATTTGATAAATTACAACACGTGTGGCCCATATTGCATTGCGTATTTTTCTCCCTTTTTTATTTAGTTGGACATCTAAGTTAAAAATTAAATAACTAAACAGATATGAAATTATGAAGGTCATATTTCAAGTGTTCCGGAAGAACATGCCGACATATACGTTTTAGTTTAAGTGTAATTGATCATAACATATTTGTTGTTCATATTCTAATCAAATCTAACGCATATTCACCTCATGTAGACCGATACAGAGTTACTATCTTAAACATATTATGAGCGTACACTAACCGCTGTGATATCTTTACTGGCAGACCCAGCATTACTTCCGGTTTATGATTAAAGCAATGACGGCACGTTCTGATAAGATGGAGATAGTATTAAGTTGCTAAAAATGTGTGTCAGTAATCCCTAATTGGCCCCGGACAAAGTACTTGACAAAGGAAAGCAGTCGGGATGTGACCCATGGTAAAGTCCTTTCATGTACTACTCATTAGTACGGATTGACCTCGTCTTGATATCAGCATGAGCGAGACAATTCTCTAAGGAGGACGATAGATATTCCCAGCACAGTTTAATGTTGTCAGTTGTCTACTTGTTGATTTAAAAGTTGCTTATTATATCGTACAAAAATGTAAATAGTTGCTGGGGAGAAGGTCTTTTCGCTTTTCATAAAGATGACACCACGGGTGTATGGTGACCAATGAAATCTGTAACCATGGTGTCCTCTAGCGATCACGTGATTTGTCTATCGGTATTCTTTTTTCTGCTGTCGTTAAGACCCCTTCCATTCTGTAATCCGGTTTAATAAGAGTAAGGTATAAGCTGTTTCGTTGTAAAACAAAACAAAATTGGGTTTTTTCAATAAATATCTTACATTTGGCAGTTAGCAGAGCGAGTAAGACGACATGTGTGAACTGTTCAGAACTGCACCAGCTTGCGCATGTGCATACATGTTACAATGACAAATTGTTAATTTTGTACTGGTGTGCGGCATACTGTATTACACAAGGACAGCAGTCTAGTATTTTAGACAAAGAAGGTGTGTGGCATACTGAAAATAGGAACACGTAGTCCCTTCTTAAAGTTTCCAGCCTTAAATTAACTATTGAAAGAATAGAAATGCATTTATACTTAGTAATTGGTTCTTACTAATTTTTTCTCATAATGCTGCGGTACAGTTGCTATTTCCGTACCAAAAGAGAGTCCTTATTCCTCCGTACATGCATCACCAGACACCTTACGAAACACAATGCCGCCAGTTTATTCTATCCACGGGATAGGCTTGTATCAAGTGTCTGTAATTTCACATTGATACTGGAATGATACAGGGGAAAAGGTAGAAGAATCAAAATCAAAATTGGAGAGGGGAAAAATAATCTTTCCCAAGCAAACATGATACCTAACAACATTCACTGCACAAAATTCATAAAAGTCGTTTAGCTTTAGCTGATGATGTCGTCAGTTGTCAGGGGGTTCATTTTACACATGACACGGGATAAGAAGACATCGTTTCTCTGGCGCCCACAGTTATTGACGTAGAAGGTACGTATGTATGATAGGTAGGTATGTGTGATAGATAGGTATGTGTGATAGGTACGTATGTGTGATAGGTATGTATGTGTGATAGGTACGTATGTGTGATAGGTAGGTGTGTGTGATAGGTACGTATGTGTGATAGGTAGGTGTGTGTGATAGGTAGGTATGTGTGATAGTAGGTATGTGTGATAGGTACGTATGTGTGATAGGTAGGTATGTGTGATAGATATTTATTTGTGATAGGTATGTGTGATAGGTACGTATGTGTGATAGGTAGGAATGTGTGATAGGTAGGTATGTGTGATAGGTAGGAATGTGTGATAGGTAGGTACGTGTGATAGGTACGTATGTGTGATAGGTAGGTATGTGTGATAGGTAGGTGTGTGTGATAGGTAGGTATGTGTGATAGGTATGTATGTGTGATAGGTAGGTATGTATGATAGGTACGTATGTGTGATAGGTACGTATGTGTGATAGGTTCGTATGTGTTATAGGTACGTATGTGTGATAGGTACGTATGTGTGATAGGTAGGTGTGTGTGATAGGTACGTATGTGTGATAGGTACGTATGTGTGATAGGTAGGTGTGTGTGATAGGTAGGTATGTGTGATAGTAGGTATGTGTGATAGGTACGTATGTGTGATAGGTAGGTATGTGTGATAGATATTTATTTGTGATAGGTATGTGTGATAGGTAGGTATGTATGATAGGTACGTATGTGTGATAGGTACGTATGTGTGATAGGTTCGTATGTGTTATAGGTACGTATGTGTGATAGGTACGTATGTGTGATAGGTAGGTATGTGTGATAGGTACGTATGTGTGATAGGTATGACCAGACATTTGGAAATACATACATTTTTTATTTACGGTATATATCTTGCGTCGGTGTCAATATACCCGTCTAGATGCAAAATCATACAGGTACATGTAAATTTTCCTGTGATTTTTTTAAATAATTAAAATCATCTTGTACTTGTTCTGATTATTGACACGAATGTTTGAAGAACGAAAGTGTTTTTGGTGTTGAGAGGGACCGGACTGAAAAACATTGAGACATTCCCACTGAATATGATTACGTTCTCCAAGTTTCCACGTCGCTGGTACCTACATGTTAGTATATCAGGTTTACTTTCAACTGCGCTCTGTCGTGTATTACAGTGTAAAAACATAATTCATAAAATCAAAATATACAAATCTCTTCCAACCGTATATGTAGATTGTATTTACTATGTTTTACAGGTTAAATGTACTAAAGGTAATACGTTTCATATCAGAGTCATTTGTAAAGTGTGTTGTACAACGTTGAAGTTAACAGTTTAAACTGTAGTCTTGCTAAAAACATATTTTATGGCAAATATATATTTACAAAATAATTGGATACGTTACATCATAAAATTTGCTCTGTCAAAATGGCTTTCTAGACACTTTACTTCATAAAAATGTTTCAGAGACTCTATGTTGTCAGTGTTAGCTCCCTGACCTACCGCCCAAGACAGACAACTGGTCAGATAGCAGCTTTTCAGTGTCCAACAGATTTTACATATTCTTCATAGGATGTCGGCAACGCGAAAATCTGCATACATGTTCCTCAAATTACAAAAAACAGAAATTGTAATTTTGAAATGAGAGAAAAGTAAATGAAGTGACAACTAAATAATTATGACTTGTCATATATAACTCTATGACTATATTTACGCCAGTGCGAAACATTATATGCCTTGAAAAGAAACCATTTTGTCGGTGATAGACAAAGAGATGATAAGATTATTTGAAAAGATGTATTTGGTGTCAGGAGACGCAAATTTCCTGGGAAACATCCTAATTATAATATTACTAGTAAACCATGGTTCACACCAAAATGTGCAGAGAAAAGACGGGCATATCACAGTGCTAAAAAAACTTTAAAAAAGGGTGAGTAAGGTTATAGAAAAGAATTAAATATACTGAATCCCAGTTTAGAAGTCTAAATATGATAGAATTTTGGAATATAATTAACCGTCTAGATGGAAAGAGCAATTCTAATGTTGATTTTGAAATTAATGAATTATACAACTATTTTAAACAACTTAATTCTGATGATGCAAGAGAAGGTGAAGACTTTGTTATCCGTGAGTTTAACAATGATATCTATGGTGGCATACTTAATGTTAATATAAGCGTTAGTGAGATTGAAAATGTTATTCATTAACTGCCCAATAATAAAGCATGTGGAATAGATGGAATAGTGAATGAATACATTAAAAACACAGCAGATGTCTTTATACCATTAAATGTAAAGTTATTTAATATTGTATTAGATACTAGTATCATACCAGATGCTTGGATCACAGGAATTATAAAACCAATATATAAAAATAAAGGCGATCCCAAGAACTTGAACAATTATCGAGCGATTACACTGGTATCTTGCCTTGGTAAGGTTTACACATCCATATTAAATAATAGACTGAACCTATTGGCAGATGAAATAATACTCATAGCAGATGCTCGTGCAGGTTTTAGGAAGAGTTATTCCACTTCGGATAATGTGTTTGTACTACATGTATTACTACCGATGAAGGGAAGGTGTGAACGACACACTTACTATAGTATTGAACAAAGTATTGATACTATTGTATTGAAGTATTCAAATAATCGAGTCAAGTATACAACGACCTCTGTGATTGGTCGGGGATGGAGTTTAGACAACCTGAATAGTTGATCTGACACCCAATTTGTTCCGGTAGGCGGAGTTAATGTACACATCAGTTACATAACAATTACTAAGTAATCGCTGGAAAAATGTCCGACGACGGCAACAGTACGCAAAATTTTCTTCGACGAAATTATGTCCGATACGAACGATATGGGGAATCCTGTTTTTGTACAAGGCGATGTGGTTGTGATGGATAATTGTGGATTCCATCACCATAGACAGGGAGAGCGCATTTTAAGAAATATGCTGAAAGAATATGGCGTGTCCCTGGTTTTTCAGCCGCCTTATTCCCCGGGATACAACGTAACTGAATATGTATTCAATGTCATGAGACAGAGGCTTCGGGCAAATACCCGACTTGTGTCAGAATTTCTGGAACTTGCAGTAGTAAATGCTCTAGATATTCCGCCCAACCAACTTCAAAGTTTTTTCACATGTTGCGGATATGTATAATTTTCGATGGAAAGATAAAAAATAAAATAAAAAATATATGGGACCACAGAATTCCTTTACTTTTTAATGCAGTATGAATTATCGGCATATATCAGGAGGTCCCAGGTAAATCGTAATTCTTTGTTACATTAATAGAGCTTGGGCTTAAACCGAAATATTTTTAGCCAACCTCTCCCCCCCCCCCCCCCCCTTTCAAAAAAAAAATA